CCAGGAAAGGCGCAAAGCTACACAGAGAAACCCTGTCTCGAAAAAACCAGAAAAAACAAAAACAAAACAAAACCAAAAAAAGAATAATTGAAGTAAAAAGATATGGAAGGCATAATCAGGACTGGTGAGATGCTCCGTGGGTAACGGTACCTGCCTCCAAGCCTGAACCCCGAGTGTGGTCCCTGGGACCCACAGGTAGAAGGAAAAAAACAATTCTAGTAAGTTGTCCTTTGAACTCTACACCCATGCCCTGATATTCACATCATTTTAAATTTTTCAAAAAGGCTGGCAGTGGTGGCGCACGCCTCTAATCCCAGCACTTAGGAGGCAGAAGCAGGCAGAGCTCTGTGACTCTGAGGCTAGCTTGGTCTGATAGCAAGTTCCAGGTCAGCCAGAGCTACATAGCAAGTTCCCATCTAAAATAACTTTTATCCAAAAAGAACATTATTGAACTTATCTCATGTTCTTTTGAAGTATGCTTTTGAAAACTAAGGTTTCTTTTGTCAATAGAGAAAAAAAAAAAACATTCCCTACTCCTACATAAGACACGCTGATTCAATCAGTTGTAAAAGGGCTCCCCAAGTGACTCTGCTGGTCACCAGCTTTTGGAGCCACTATGGATGAAAGGCTAGGGAGTTTGAGATGTAGGACACCCCCGGGCATGTGTGTAGAGGTACAAACACACCAGGCGAGCCTTTACCAGTTCCCCGCCAGGAGCTGCCTTTGGTCTGGCGCCGTGAGTCTGACACAGAATGTGGAACTTGGAACACACACTGGAACTTGGCACTGTCATATCCTTCTGTACAGATGACCCTGGCCACCTGACCAAGCAGCTCCAATTTACAGCTCCCCCCCCCCGCCCCCGCTCCCCTCCCTTAGGAAGGCTGCCAGTTCTGCCAAGAAGAGTCTAAGAGAGGTTTCCTTGGCACTGAGGCTGAGACCGGGGCTCAAACTTGCACACTCAGAATCTCAATTAAGTGAGTACAGAGAGGGCCCCACTCTGGGGTGGCCTCTCCTTAACAGACATCTGTATAGACCCAAGCAGCGAGCTTATTAATTTACTAATGAAAACTAACGGCTGCCATGCTGGTGGGTCACAGCCTCTTTTCTTGAAGGCAAGTTGCCTGTGGAGCCAACTCTGAAGGCTGTTTAATGAGAAAGCAGACCCATCCAACGTCACCAGACCGTCTGGTGACAGCCACCCCTATCACGGGGCTGCTGGGCTCCTTTTCACGATGGAGGTGCCTCTCTGTGCCCAGACAGTGCCAGTTTCCACCGTGCAGGCTCCCGGGTAGGGTGCCCAGCTCTGCACTGACCATGCATCTAATTTGCTGAAGCAGCTCAGCCCCCCCCCACACACACACCCAGTTTCCTCATGGATATAATGGGAATATAACAGCATCCACATTGTGGGGCCATTGCTTAAATGAAAGAAGTGAAGAGTGATCCCAGGCGTGGGCAGAGTCAGTCTTCCTGGATGGTAATTGTCATCAACACACGGCTGCTATGACCTCTTCTTCGATTTGGGTGTCACACTCCTCATCCCAGTCCCTCGTTGGGCGCAAAGGAGCTAGACCTGATTTGACTTTAATTGCTAGCCTTGCCTCTTTTTTTTAAAACTTTGTAGCCCCAGCTGGAGTTTCAGGGACTCCTCTACCATTTCACAGTGCCCTCCCTCATCTGTAGTCCAGACACAGACACACCCTCGGGGGTGGTGGGCGACGTTCTGAATTCCAAGGTCCCAGGCTGGGGGTGGGAGTGGATCCTCTCCTAGCTCATTACCACCCGCCTCCAGCGGCCGCAGTCGGCCATTCTCGCGGCCCTCCCTGGGCACCAACTTCTACTGTGTTCATTAATGCTGGCCCTGGAAGCAGCTGCAGGGTGGGGTGGGCTGAAATTCGGGGCTGGAGCAAATGTGTCTGCAGGAACTCCAGTGTCCATGTCATGCATCTGGCAGATGTAACTTCCCGCCTGCCTGGGATAGAGTTTCTGAGCTCACATGGGCCTGTGGTTTAAGCAAAACAACAAACCAAGCTGAGAAAAATCTCATGTCTGCTTTTGCATAAAGGCCCAGAGTCCTTTATTTCTACTTCCCTGAAAGTAGCATTTGTCCTGCTGACATCTGGGGCTAGGGCAGCAGGCTGGGCCTCTAAGCCAGACGTACCTCCCGGCATCTACACCGTACTTAGCAACAGGGCATCTTTGCTGCTTCAAACCCCAAGCACACGAGCCCAGTTCCACTCAGCAATGCTTGTTCACGCTGTTCCCTCAAGTAAAATGTCCAGCTCGACAAAGTCCCACCCTTGCCGTCAGACCCATTGGAGTCACACTCCTTCTTGGGCCTCGGGGCTCGTCACCCAGAGGACAACAATTCAGAGCTGGGCCCAGGGCCCTTGGCACTCCAGCAGAGGTAGGTACAGGTGGACACTCCTTCAGTGTGGGTGACTGGACTAAGGGCTTGGAGTCAGGAAAGAATGTTCCTTCTCTTTTTCCTCTGTGCTGTCTTCCTTCCTTCCTTCCTTCCTTCCTTCCTTCCTTCCTTCCTTCCTTCCTTCCTTCCTTCCATCCTTCTTTCTTTCCTTCTTTCCTTTTGTCTTCTTAGATTGTAAAATACAACATACATTCAGAAAAGTACACAGAACGCAAATGTGCAGCTTAATGAATTGTAACTTGGGAGCCCTGGCCGCCAAGCAAACATTTGGTAACTACCTACCACCCAGGTCAAGAAAGGAAATGTCAAGGGCCAGTGAGATATCTCAGTGGGTAAAGGTGTGCCTGCCACCAAAGTCTGCTGATCTAAGTTCGGTCACGTGATTCACATGATAAAGAGAGAACAGATTCCCATAGGGTGTCCTCTGACCTCCAAACATGCGTCATGGCACACTCACACTAATACCCAACACCTCCACACAAAGTATGTTAGTTACTTTTTTAAAAAGGAGTGTTGCTCAGACCTCAGATGCCCCTCCTGTGACTGTGGATGGGATATTTTAGAGCTGGTGGTTTTGAATCTGTGGGTGTGGGAAAGGTCCTAGGAGGATGCATGAGCTTGAGAGTCTCTATTTCTTCAAGCTCTCACTTACATGGAAGCTGTGTGCATCCTAGAAAAGTGAGGAGTCCTGTCCCCAAGAGGAAGCCAAGCGTTGCCAGCCAGGACCCTTGCCCAGACCCTGAAGTAACCACCCTTCATTCAAGCTATGTCTGTAAGCATGCCTGAGGTCAGATGTGTGTGGTATGGTCTCGCTATCCCGTCAAAAGGGAAGTGACATCAGATCCGGGCCTCTAGACACTTAGGGATTACCAAGCAACAGGAGGAAGGGATTTTCCAAGGGCTCGAAGCATGGGGCAACGTGGAGGGCCCAGGAAGTAGGTGGAGAGACTTAGGAAATCCTATGGGGGAGTTCAGAATTAATGTGTGTGAGAGGGCATCCCCTCCTCTGTCTCTCGGCAAATATTGGCTGAGCAGTGTATGAGGCACTGTGCAGGTACCACCAAGAGAGAGAATAAGGCCGATGCCAGCCCCGGCTCCCAAGCCCTTGGTGTGATGGGAGACATGGTTTGGAAGCAGGAACTCAAAAGCCAGAGGGCTGGGCATCAGCAGTGTCAACACAGCTCCATGACTGGAGGGATCTAGCCCAAGCTCATGACAGGCTGTTATAGTGTAGCGCCCTGCAGACAGTTCAGTCTTACAAGAGGGTGGTTTCAAATGTCTGGGTGTTGACAATAAAGCACAGATAGGGAACCAAGGGGATGACGATAAATGGAAGGATGTGCAGACATTTAGGGACACTCGGACAAAACGCACTCTCAGGGAGATCCAGTACAGCACCTTAACTTGGAGCAAGTCATCTGGAAAAGAGGACGTCGGTAGAATTCACAATTGGGGAGGTATCCAAATTGATAGGAACGAGTCAAGACTTCACGGAGATCCAATTCTTAGTAGGGCCTTGAGCTGCCCGGAAAGGCCTCTGGCTCAGATGTAGGGAAAGGTACCTGCCACTCAAGGTGGAAGGGGGCAAAGTGGGGGAAAAGGCAGAGATAAAGCGGCGGCAGGTTTCAGTTGAGTGACAGATCCTATGGCTTCCGAACAGGGTTGCAGCCTGACCCAACACTGGTCCAGAGAGATTCACCCGGTGGTGGGAGAGGCCAAAGAGACGAACTGACGATAAAGCAGGCGAGGCCTGGCATGAGAGACAGGGTGTCAGTAATGAAAGGGGAGGAGGGCCAGGAAGGCTATCAGGGTGTGACGCTTGGGTGCCACCCTCACAGGGCAGAGCAGCTGGGCCGGGGGTAAGGCTGTGAGATGGTGGGGATGCTGCGCCGCGCTCTCAGGAGCCAGCTGGGGGAGGGCAAGGAAGAACAAAACACTCATTTGATCCAGAAGTAAAAGCCCACTCCTAGACAGAAAACCCAGGGCCAGAAAAGCATAGACTACTTCAGTGAGGACAATGAGGACCAGAGACTCCATCTCAGCAGCTAAGCAATTTCTGCTCCTGACTGCAGAATGGGAAACGCCTGTAGGGGTCTGGCAGAAAGGGGAAGAGAGCCCGACAAGGCGAGGGAACCTTTCTTCCAAAATCATTTACATTAAGGAGCCACAAGCTAGCCTCTTCTAGAACATCTGCAGGTCAGGCTTTTCAAAGCAGTACTTCAGAGAGGCTGGGTTCTCCCTGAGAGCAGCTTGCTTCAAATTAGCATAGCTTGGTTTCCAGGGACGTGTCCTCCACAAGAGAAGCCCTCCAGTTCTGTCCTTGCACCTTCCGGTGACGCAACCCAATCAGCTTGAAAAAGTAAGGCATCTCCAGTATGCTGGGCTCTCCACTACAACCGAGGCTGCACCTTCATCAATGGCCGGCCTCTCCTGGCTTCTTCAGGGACTCCAACCCTGCCACATGGTGCCAAGCCTCAGCACCTCGGGGTTTCCGCTGCAGCCGAGAGACTGCCCCTTCACCAGCCACCTCTCCTGGCACCTCAAGGACCGTGCCTCAACTTCCCCTCATGACCCCTTGAGTCATGAAACTTCCATGCCAACAATGCTGTCCTGCATGGGATATGTTTACACATCACCAACTTCATTTGCCAGCTTGAAATGTGGCCTTAGCCTGTCTGGACCATGGATTCTATGTCCTGACCCTGAGGGAAAACTTCCCAAGTTTCACCTCAATGATGCTGGTCTCTTCTTAACTCATAGCTGATTTTTTTTTTAGCTCTAGCTAACCAACATTGATTGTCCCAGTAAAGCAAAGATTTCACTTTGGGGGCGCTGGTCTGTTGTTAACCAAGAACCACAGATTCCCAATGCAAAATATCAACAGCCCTGAGAGTTGTTGCTTCCTTCTGAAATTTCACAAGCCAGGCATCTACCACCTGCATCGCCCTCAGCACTGTCTCCCATGTTCCCACAAAACAGCTCATTCAGCTCCAAGAGCTTGATGGCATTTCCAGACCAAACTTACAGATACTTCCAGAATCCTCCCCTCAGCAACATGGCCAGGTGTGTCATTGTAATAACCCACTCTCTGATGCCAACTTCTGTCCTAACTCACTTCCTATTGCTGCTATAAAACGCCGACCAAAACCAACTCGGGGAGGAGAGGGTTTATTTCCTCTTACAGCTTACAGTCTATCAGGAAGGGAAGTCAAAGCAGGACCCTGGATGCAGGGACTGAAGTAGAAGCCATGGAGGAGAACTGCTCCATGGCTTGCCCAGCCTGCTTTCTCATACAGCCCAGGAGATAGGTTGTATACAATTCCACCTGTCCAGGGGATGGCGCCACCCACGGTGGGCTGAGCCATTCTACGTTAACCATTAATCAAGAAAATGCTTAACAGATGTGACCATAGGCCAGGCTGATAGTGACATTTCTCAACTGAGATTGCCTCTTCTTGGATGACACTAGCGTGTGTCAAATTGACTAAAATTAACCAACATAGGCTCAGATGACCTGACTTTGACACAAAGAAGTCACATCTGTGAAAGAGGGATGCTGTTACCCTCACGATGGAACTGAAAAGGCTAAAGCTGAGAAGGCTGAACAAGCTTTGGAAGTTTCTAGGTGAGTTTGTTATTACAAAGCGTAACTTCCCTGGCCTCACTTCCAAGGTCCCTCACCTCTGACCTTACATAGAACTGGACTCCACTGACCAGTGGAAGTGGACCTAGGTCTGAGATCCCAGGAAGCCTCCAGAGGACCAGACCTAAGGGTGAGGTGAGTGAGTAGCCCTGTGATATAGCTCCTCAGAGAGCGCTGTCTGTCTGTCCAGGATTCCAGCTGCAAGCTGAGAAGGAATACAAATGTTCAACTCGGAGGCACACAGTGGCCATGTTTGCTATTAGGCCTCAGCCTTAAGTGACATATTCAGAGCATGCGCTGATAACCAAATTCACTCTCGTCATGATAGTCCTGGTGTCCCCTCTTCAGAAGGGACACAGCTCAACCTCTGGCACAGGGCAAGTTCTGGTTTGCAAGGGAGAGAATGTAAATGTCTATCCGACCTTGTCCCTCACCATGTCCAGGGACTCTTCAGGGACTCCTTCCATTTCCTTACTCATCCCAGTGCTTCCAATGGGGGCAGCAGGATGCAGCAACGTCATCATGGCGACTCACTCCATACACTGCCAACAACCTTGGGTGTTCTCAACCCTTTGTCGGAATGAGAGATGGCCGACTGTGACGATGGATGGGACACATTGGCCTGCTCTTGCTGGGCTCCCATGCAGCCTACGTTGCTGGGACACAGAGCTCCACAGGAAGTTAGAAAGTATGAGGTAGTTACATGGACTTGTCTGGAGGCCTCTGAGACTAGTCTACTCAAAGAGGTGACTGATTATATGGCTGTCGTGATTCTAACTTATACCCAAGTAAGAGATGAGACCAACCAGAGTGGTCCTGCCTTCTGCAACTGCATCCCAAAGCCCTCTGCTTAGCCAGGCATTAACCCTCCAGATACTGAAAAAGGAGGTCAGAGGGAGCCAGAGGAAGGCTTGGGATAGCTTTCTGGGGGGACTCAAGGCAGAGAGTGTTTACCCAGCGAGACAAAACTATTTTAGTACCTTTAAACCTGTTTAGCCATAGAACATGGGATGTTAAAAGCTGTAAGTTAGCTCTGGAGCTATGGAAACTCCCGAAAGTCCCCATGCTTAGTTGAAATGTCTACAGAACAAGTGGTGTAGGACAAAAGTGTTTTTCTTCCCATACCTGGTACCACCTCTGCCCAGTGCTCTCTGCCCCATGGGACCAAGATACCTGGATGTGGCAGGAAAGTAGACAGGACCAAACAGAAGCTGGCACGCTCAGGGTTCTCTGCCGGGATGGTGGTGGGGCTGGTCATGGTCCTCGTTAGGCATTTACTCATGTCTTAGGGAGCCAGAATCTCCTCTTTCCCCCACTCAAAGAACAAATAGCTTGCCTTTTAAAGTCCTGAAACACAAAGGTTCTCATGTCTACATATCCCCATTTCCATGGACAGTTAGGCCTGGTTGCCATGGTATTCTTAGACATGATGTACTATTATTCCTAATATGATTTTGAAGGGCGAAGAACTTGTGGATGCAGTGGGTACTCTTATAAAAAGGTCTTGTGGGTTCATACACACCTCATCTTTTTTCATTCTCTCTTTGCCCTCCTGTTCCCCCAGAGTATGCAGTAATGAAGTGCCATCTTGGTAGCAGAGAGTGAGCCCTTTCCAGGCATAGTAAAGTCTGCCAGTGTTTGGATCCTGAATTTCCCAAGCTAACTATATGAGCAGCGTGCTTCTGTTATTTATAAATTAGTCAATCTAACACATTTAAAAAATAAGAACAGGGATAGACTGATGGAGACAACCCTCAATAATACTATACCCATCTCGTGACTTTTCTATTGATGTGATAAAACACCATGACCAAGGCAGCTTGTGGAAGAGTTGACTTGGGTCTTATGGTTCCAGGGGGTTAGCATTCACAATGGTGAGTGAAGGAGCAGAAGAGAGCTGAGAGCTGAGCTAGGTAGAGCACAGGGCATGAAGTGGAAGTATTTGAAGCCTCAGAGCCCACCCAGGTGATACACTATGGCCAATGAGGCCACACCTCCTAATCCTTCTCAAACAACTCCATCAAGTGGGAACCAAGTATCCAAACATATGAGCCTATGGGGCCATTCCCATTCAGACTGCCATAACACTATTTAAGGGACGATGTAGGACATTTTACCACAATACACTGCTGTTTTTCTATTGGTGTGTTGTTATTCTTACTATTATTCTGTTTCTACAGATGCTATAAACCATGCAAAAGCCTGTATTTTTGCTTTAGATAGTCAATTATCTTTTAATTCTTTTTTTTAGTGTCAAAGTGTCCTTTATTTGTCTACATATTGTTATCATTTCTGAACTCTTAATGTCATTGTATAGATCTGACTTTTCATCTGTTGTCAATACCTGAGGAACTTTCTTAAAATTTTTAGAGTGAGGATCTTATGGTTGAAAAAAATTCTTTAAGAGCCCAGAGAGACAGCTCGGGAACGTAGGCATTGGCTGCTCTTCCAGAGGGCCCAGGTTCAATTCCCAGCACTCACAACTGTTTGTAACTCCAGTCCCAGGAAATCTGATGCCTGTTTCTGTCCCCCTTGGGCACCAGACATGTAAGTGGTGGTGCATGTAGGCAAAACACCCACATACATAGAAGAAATAAAGTAATTTTAATTATAAATATTTTTGATATCTGGAAAAAAACAAATTTCTTTTGTCTTCCATTTTGGAGGATAGTTTTGGCTGGATATGGAATCTGAATTATGATGCTTTCTTTTCCTTCTTTTCAATACTATAAAGATTCCTGAAAAGACACTAAACTCCGGTTTGCATTATTTCAGACGGGAAGCCAGTTATTTCTACCACTTATTCCTATGTTTTCTGTTTTTTGTTCTCATGTTTTTCTTCTTTTTATTACTGATTTTCAGTAATTCCATTATGAAGTGGGGTTTTTTAAAAACTTTTTTTCATAAAGGAAAACTTAATTGTGATGGCAGCTTACAGTTCAGAGGTTCAGTCCATTATCGTCATGACAGGGAGTGTGGATGTGGTGCTGGAGGAGTAGCTGAGAGTCCTACATCTTGCAGGCAACAGGAAGTTGACTGAGACACTGGGTGGAATCCTGAGCATAGGAATCCTCAAAGCCCACCCCATAGTGACACACTTCC